GTAAGCTTTCTACCTGGAAAAGCTCACCGGAAGCACTTTTTCATCAAAAAAAGATGGCGGCGCCCAGCAACCAGCGGCTCGGTAGGACTTGTTCCGCGGACCGGTACCGGTCCCCGGACCGGTGGTTGGGGACCCCTGCCTTAAGGCTTAAAAGGAAGCAGCTTCCCATTCTTGAGCTGTAGAAAATTAAGTAGAAATCGACCTACTCAATTCTGAATGGTAGATTTTGAAGGAAATAAATATTAAGTTGCTCTTTTATAATAGAATTAGAAAAATTAAGTGCATTATTAAGCTGTGTTATCTTTGTTGCTGTATCCTAACCACAAAGTATGTTCAGTTAAACAAAATATGCTGGATAGTTACAGGCTTCTTAGAAAACAGGAACATCTGCCCAGGCTGTTCGATAAAACAGGCACATAAGATAGGGTCATCCACCAAGGTGAAGCTACAAGTAAACAAGATAAGATATCCAGTGCCTAGGAAGAAACAGTCAAGGCGACCCTTTACCTTACAGTATTTCTTAGAGATAATAAGGGGAGTGGGGAGGGCTTCTTAGGCATGGCATGCATTGTGTAGAGTGTATAAAATGTATTGTTTGACCATTAGATCTTGCTCTTCTTGTATCCAATCCACTTTGGAAAGGACTTGAAGGCCCATTTGCAAACACTTATTTTCTTTAATAAATCTTTGAATTGTGAACCAGACCTGTCTCTGTATTGTGAGTATTAAATAATCCGGGTCTTACATCTCACAAGTTCAAATGTTGTATCCTTATAGGTTTACCCAGTGCCTGTGTGCATATTGGGTGCTTCCATCATAGAAAGATTCTTTCCTGTCCACTAATTCTCTCCTAAAATGCTCCCATCTAGAAGACATGGCTGACTGGGAAGATCATGGATGGATGGCTGCAGGGGAGAACCGACAGTCACAGCATTGAATAATCAAACACAGAATTAATTCTATATTATTTTTTAAAAAGCGTAATCAGAATCTACTTACCACAACCGTTGAACACTGAAGCATCTGGGAAAATGAAAGTAATTTACAGGAACAAAAGATCGGTGGGACACCTTCACATAATAAAAAAAGGAGGACTTTAATCATACAGTAGCTTAAGTGGATGACTCCAGACAAAGCGTCCTTTTTTGTTGTTGTTGGTTAAGGATATATATACCATTTTACAAAAGATAAAAAGAAAAGAAACAGTAACATATATGCTAATAACAATAGTAGTAGCATTACAACAGAATGATTTAACCATATTTATAATTACGTTAGCTCATTTGTAATCCTATTGATTATATTAACATAATAGTTATAAACAATGTTAATGTTTAATTTATACATAGCAATACTCTTTCTTCGTCTAATTTCTACCTCTTATCTCTAACCAACTGATAAATGCTATTCCATGTTAAATAAAACTCTGTACCTCCTTTATCTTTTATTTTCAGTGTCAATCTATTCATCTCTGCACAATCCAATATTTTCAAAATTATATTTTCATCTGATGGGGTGTTCTCACTTTTCCAATATTGTGCAAATACAATTCTCGCTGTGGTCATGTCAGAGCGTTTGCAGCGTGGCTGCTATTATGAGACAACCCAGGAGCAAAATACAGCACACAGAGACATTTAACAGTGGTTTATATACAAGGCAGTTATATACTAACATATACGTGGTAGGCAAACACCTTCTTAACTCTACACGGAGAACTTCTGCAATGAATACTGGACACAAGGAGAGAGAACCACGCCCTGTAATGGCTGCCTTCATATAAACACCTCTTAAAGGGATCTTTAATTCCTAGTCTTAAAAGGAAATACCCATGCTATGCTGATTCATTCTTATTACATCAGCCTATATTGCATCAGCTTCACTGCTGGTCGGCTCTTAAATCCCAAGACCTTAACAGGTCAATACATGTAAAATTAAATATATAGTTCCTTTATCATAGCTTTTTGGTATTGTACCTAACAAAAATATTTCTGTTTTCAAATCTATATGCTGCTTGAACATCTTTTCCAACTATGTGTGTATTTTTGTCCAGTATTTTCTTGCTTTCATACATGCCCACTGTTGTGTTGTGCGAAAAGAGACTCGAGACCCAGTTGACCTTTTTTCCTTTTTATTTTCTTTCTAGTAATCGCATGCGGAGAAACTGCGGCAGCCTTTTTTATAGCCTGCTGCTCGCGGCTCGTGGCCAATGATGGCTCTTCAAATCTCCCACTACCATGGACCAACCTATCATAGGTAAGTATGCAAATATATAACACCCCTCCCCATGTGGTCCAGTCTAACCAATCCGGGCCTCACCTATCTTACATAGTCATGTAAGTAGGTGGGGCTCTTATGGTTCCGACTGGACCTGCGCAATTCAGTCGTGAGTTCGCCTCTGGACTGTTCGGGTGGGGTTGCTGTTTTTCCCGTTCTTTTCCGTGGAGCCTCCTGGAAGGTAGAGTCAGCCATGCCGCTCCCGCCAGGCCTTTCCTGGCTGGTTGAGTTGGCTCGGCTGCTCCCACCAGGAGTGGCTTCCTGATGGTTCTTCGAAGTCTGCTCCAGCGTCCTCAAGTTGTTTTCTTCTTCTTCTTTTTTTTTTTTTTGGAAAAATACTTTATTAGTTTTACCTTTAAAAGAACAACACAACTACAAATTATGTACAACAAAAAGAAAAATAGGCCTTGGCATAGACCAAGAGGGAGAGAGAGGAAAGCCTAAGAGAGGGGAAAGGGAAGAGTAAGGGAGGGGAAGGATAGAGTAGGGAAAACAGTTAAAATAAAACCATATTTTGTGACTGTCTGTAAGATCCTTTCTTCTTCAAAAGTATCATCGGCGGTGCTTTTCTTTATCTCTGCTTCGGAGGCCCTCGGCCATAATTTTCCTAGAGATGATCTATCTTTGGTTTAGACAATTATACAAAGGATTCCAATTGTTGTAATATGATGAGGATTCTTTATTTTTTAGTGCTTGAGTTAGTTTGTCCATTTCGGCGCATTGTAAAATTTTCTGAATAACCATATGTTCAGAGGGAATGGAAGATAATTTCCAGCACTGGGCAAATGCCAGTCTGGCTGCGGTTAAGATATGAATTACAATATACTTCGATTTTTTGGGTATTTGTTTATCGAAAATTTCTAGAAGGAAGGACTCTGGTTTGTACTCTATTTGTTCCTTGGTTATTTCCTCTAGCCAGCGCCTAATTTTTTGCCAGTACTTCTGGGTTTCCTTGCACGACCACCACAAATGGAAGAAGGTACCTTCTATGCTTTGACATTTCCAACAATTGGGGCTCGTGTTGGGGTGCATCTTCGCCAATCTCGAAGGGGGCAGGTGCCATCTATAAAACATTTTATATGCGTTTTCTTTATAAGCTGCTGATTTCGTGATCTTAATGTTCCTGTTCCAGATCCTTTCCCATTCTGCTAGCGTAATGCTCCGTCCCACGTTTCTGCTCCACGCAATCATATTTCCTTTGACAATTTCTTGTTCTAATTCAGTTTCTAATAAATGTTTGTAAAATTTAGATATATTTTTTTTGCTCGGTCCTAATAGAATTTTGTCTAAAGTCTGTAATTTATTGTAGATTCCAAATTCCTTAATATCTTGTTTATATCTACTATGAATTTGAAGGTACACCCACTGATCAATTTTAAATCCTCGCTCTTGTAATTCTTGTCGGGTTTTCAATTTTCCTTGTGGGTCTAATAAATTTTCGTACTTAATCATTTTAGTTATATCCAAATTATTAGGGTGTACTATCGCTTCCATTGGAGATAGCCAAATCGGTATTTTTAGATAAAGTTTT